AATGGAAGTCCCATGGAGGAATTCTCACTGGAAAGAGGATTGAGTCAGTGTGATCCGTTATTACCATTCCTCTTACTTCTAGCGGGACTGGATTATTTGATAGAAATGCAGTGGAGATAGGATTATTTGAGGGACTGCAGGTCTGGCATGGTGATTTATGTATTTCACATCTTCAATTTGTAGATGATACAAGATCATAGGAAAGCAAAGTTGGAGCATATGTGGGCCATAAAAGGTATCCTAAGATGGTTTGAATTGATGTCGGGCTTGAAAATAAATTTCAAGAAGAGCAGTATTCTTGGAATGCATTTTGATGAGGTATGGATGAAGGGAGCTACAGAATTTCTGAAATGTAAAAGAGGTGTGGTGTCATTTGCTTATTTGGGTATGCCTGTTGGAGACAATCAAAGAAGGAGGAAGATGTGGATGCTGATTGTGGAAAATTCTCAAAAGAATCTATTAGGTTGGCAAACAAGATCCCTGTCCTTCAGTAGTCGGCTCATCTTCTTAAATTTGGTACTTTCTTCTTTATTGTTGTACTACTTTTCTGTATTTAAGGTACCATTGTGTGTTGTGAATATGTTAGAAAAAATTGAAAGAGAGTTTCTTGGGGGTGAATACAGGTAGGGAAATAGGAAAATTCATTGGGTCTCATGGGCAAAAGTATGTTTAGATAATAACAAAAGGAGGTTTTCGGGGTGTCGAATCTTAGATTTAGGAATTTATCACTCTTAGGTAAGTGGTGGGCAAGGTTTGAGGAATGCGCAGGAGGCTTGTGGTCAAGGGTGTTGAGGGAGAAGAATTATATTCGTAGGGGTGGTACTAGGGTGAATAGTTACAGTAGAAGGTTGTCAAAGGTATGGAAGATATTGTTTGTACTCGGGTATAGAGGAGAAATCTAAGGATGTGATAGGAAATGGGTTTGGCTAGAAGATAGGGGAGGGTAATAGAATAAAGTTCTGGGAAGACATGTGGATTGGAGATTCTGTGTTAGGGGAGGTCTTTTCTAGGCTGAAGAGAATTACAAATTAT